GAATCCTAGGCCCTGAAAGGGCTCTATACCAAGTGCCCTTTAGGCACCCCTATGGTCTTCTATCCATCCCTTTTAGCCGTACCTGGTCCCCCAGTACTCTGCCAGCTCCAAGAAACCCCTCCCTGGGTCCTGGCCACCTCTTACCCTTTGGCCACTTGCTTTTTGCAGCTCCTCAGGTACCGAGTTGGTTGGGTTCCCCTCTGTTATATCTCAGGCCAATAGAAGTTCTGCTTGCAGGGGGAAACAGGGCCAGACTGAGAACTCTGGCTCAGGAGCCAGGCTTTTACAATGGCCTGGGACTCTGCCTTCAGCCTGCTTCCAGGTGTTGCACCTTAAGCCCTGAGCCACAGTCACTGCCTTTTCCCCTGCTGCTCTTTAATCTTTGTGGGTTTCCCTAGCCATATGTTGTTTTGCAGCTGGCTTTTGCACAGCTGCCTATCTAACTGCAACCCTTTGGTGCTGGCTCCATACCTCTTAAATAGCAGGGATTAGGGGTCCCTGCTACAGGGAAATTGAGGCACAGTAAAGCTAAATGATTTGCCCAACATCACACAAGGAGTTGATGGCAAAGCAGATATCTGAACACAGGTAACCCTAGTTTCAGGTTAGTGGCTACCTACCAGACCACTGTTCCAAGCACAGTGAACTTGGGCATAGCGTGTGAGCCATGGCCAAGAGAAGCAGCAACTGGGACTGGGAATGCTCAAAATAGCCAGAGGTCAGAAGCTTCTGGGCTTGTCTATATAGCCATGTAATAACCTTAATACCAACATTGTCTGATAAATTTTAAAATCTATTCTTAAAAACTCCCTTCTCACTATGGCACATGGATTCCCCTGTCTCAACCCACCATCCCCACCAAGTAAGGAAACTGAAACAAGCAAACAAAAAAACCCACCTCTAAATAAAGTAAGAAAGAAAGCCAAAACCAGAGGCTCACCTGAAAGACCCTGGAAGCATCTGGTTTCTGTGGCAATTTAGGAAACTTGATTGAAAAGACTGTACTCTAATTCTCTCATTATTATAACAGGGATGTTGGCCTATATTTGGTACAAGGAAAAATAGGGCAGATAAATTGGCTCTAAATTAATCAAGGTTTTCTGTACTGAGACCTCAAATAAAACTCACTGGATGAAAGGCAGTTGTGGCCTTTCATTACAGCTGATGCCTCCACTTCAAATCTGTTGTGCAGTGCCACTGGTGTTTTCCGCATTCATTGCAATTGGTAAAAGGAAGACCCAAATAGAATGTTTTGCAATTATCTGCACTTCTGCAGAGTGTGGTAAAGCCTTTCAGAACCACAAATATATCAGCTTTGTAGTAATTTACTCTTTCTAAAACAGGCACAAAGCATTACCTCAGTGCTTCTTCTCCCTGCCTGTGTGCAAACTTGATGGAATCCTCTCCATTGGGATTTAATTCACCTTCAAGCTCTGGTGAACTTCAGGAACATCTAAAAAGCTACAAGTCTATCTGAAGGGAGGGTGTTGCTGGCAGTGGGCATGTCTACACATTCAAATGCTGCTCGGTGGGTTTAGTCTAGAGTAATTTACTCTAGACTAAACCCACCACAGGCAGGTGTACATGTGCAGAGACGTGGGAGCAGATTTGCTGCTCCTGGCAGCCGTCTGCTCCCACCCCCTCCAGCCCTGCACTGGCCCCCTGCAGCACCCAGGGGGGATCTAGGCTCCCCCTGGGTGCTAGCCCAGGGCTGGCAGGGAGCATAGGGCCAGGAGACAGCAGTATCCTGGCAGTGGCCAGGAGTTTGCTCCCTGCCCCCCAGAGCTGCCTGCTGCTGAGGCAGGCTCTGCCACTGGAGCTTGGGTGGCGACAATGTCCCCCTACATCTGCAGCAGGGAGCTCCCAGCCCCAGCTCCCTGACTGGGGGCAGGGGACTTGGAAAGAGCTTCAGGGGAGGGGCAGGTCCCAGCACCCTGCTCCCATCCACTGGTGGGGCAACTAGTAGTGAGCTCCCAGCTGGGCAGGGATTCCCCACCCAGCCAGGGACTCATTGCTAGCTGCCCCACTGGTGGATCAAGGCAGGGGGCTGGGACCTGCCCCACCCCCCCACCTCCAGCAGCTCTTTCCAAGCCCTCACCCTGATCACCCGATTGGGGCACAGGGCTGGGACCTGCCCCTGACCAAGACAGTTTCTGGCTAGCCCCAGGCTATATCAGGAAGTCTGAACTTGCAGCCCAGAGCTAGTTGGGGACTGCCTGAAATGGGACAGTCCCCAGCCACCTCCAGGCTGCACATGAAGACTTTCCCACACAGCCCGGGGCTTACCAGGAACTGTCTGGGTCAGGTGCAGGTCCCAGACTTTTCCAGGCTGGGTGGGAACTCTCCCCGTGCAGGGAACTCCCAACCCCTGCTCCATAATCACGAGGGCTGGGGAGCTTATTCCCAGCCCT